TGACCTTTGACCACACTTCATGGCCCCGGGGGTGACCTGAGAGAGTCAGCAATCGGCTTCAAGGCCCTTTCTTGAGGTCCCTTACAACAATTATAGAGCGGAATTTTGATCCAGGGGGGTCGATTTTCATGTTCCCGTAGTACCTTAAAGGAAGTGGTCTTTTTTGTCCTGGAGGGCGCCGTGAGAGTTCATAATTTACGATCCAAAAACTCGGGGCTATATTGCAGGTCACGAGGAGTTTTTTTAATAGCAAATTTGTTAGGTTTGATAACAATAAATTTCCAGCAATGGGAAAAGATTCCAAAAGATTCCTTAAGCCTTTAGTAAACTGCAAAACCTTTTTCATTTTGAATTCCAAGTTACTAAACATTAAAGCTGACTCGACGATCTTCAAGCGGTTTTTTCTTAAGCGAATTTAATCGAATAGTACCAGGTAATCCTTGAGGAACGAGCCGACAATCACGAATCATCGACGATCATTCGCATGCATTTTTTTCCCCGCTCGAATCCGGGCAAGCCCACCGACCGAGAAAGACTGGACACAACTGGAAAAAATAAATACAGAAAAAAAAATGCGGCAGCACTGCGGATGAATCACGATTAGGATATCGCCACATCCCCTGAGCTATGTCATTCCGTTACCTTTCGGATAAGATAAGGAGCTTCATTTCGATGACGAATTCCATTCCAGTGGGAGAAATTGTTTAGACCAGAGGTGTCAAACTCAAATCGGTCGGCGGGCCGCATTACTTACCCAGCAGATGTCTGCGGGCCACACCCATAATTTTTCATTGTAATTTTTGCTGAAAGTCAATCCAAGCGGAAATTTCACGAACCGACGGCGGGCCGGATGAACCACCTCCGAGGGCCGGATGTTTGACACCTCTGGTTTAGACGGCAGTCGAGGTGAATTTTCAGGAATTTACTAATTGTTAATGTGTTACCGTGATAATAAGGTACTTATCTGACTATGATTTTACTCTGGATGGACAAACATCGTGCATTTAGTTTTATTATCATTCATACTCATCGTGTTCCAAACTGCCCATTGGAAGATGGTGTCGAGATCGCTCTCTGGCTTTACATGGACGCCAAATGCTGCCGGAGACGTAGATTGTGATGTGACCTGCAATCAGTTCATTGTTCAAGTTCAAGAAATTGGATTTGAAGAAACGGAGAATAATCATTTATGCAGGTGTTTTTAAAACCTACTCGGAGTGTGTACGACGCTTTTGCATGAAAACTGTGCTATCCGTCAGTGACACTTCAAGAACAGACTCGCAACATTGGGGGTAAATTTTGCCTTAAAGAAAGACGGTTCATTGGGGGGGGGGGGTGGGTGTGCATGCTGATGACGTCACGCTGACGACGTGACGTCATCAGCATGCACGCTCGTGCAGCGATGGACGAGCTTGTACAAGATAGCAAATGCGCTCTCGGCATGACGTGTCGCCTAGACGTTTCATTCATTTCGGTAAGAATATTGCACTATCGGCATTTGCTCGTCATGGGTCAGAATCTTTCCACTTACTCGAAACCTGATCGTCAGCGCCACACGGCGGCATTATTGCTCAACCCTAACACCTTAAAGCGGATTTATTTTCAGCCTATGGTCCAAAGAGACATAGCCTAGAAGGCCTCGCGCGTTAGTCGGACGCGAAAAAGCTCTTCATGCGCTTGAGAGATTAACTGCAGTCTCCCCCGCCGATATTGTGACACTGGTCCCAAGTTTTTTTTTCCGAACTGCGCTGCATGATTTTCATGCTGGCGAGCTTTATACCCTTCACATGACTTCAAATTCACTTTTCATCGTTGGAAAGAGTAGGGGACTTGGCATTAACGAGGATCGGTTGGTGTTTCTCTAAGGCCCTTGGGATAATTAATCCCAAGTGTAGCACCCGAGGGACTAATCATCTTCCATTCTTGGATGCCTAATGAGTTCCCAGGAATAATGGAAAACAATATTAATTCTTCTATCGTCCATTCGTGATTCAGTGGCGTTAGTGTACCGGGTAGACGAGTAGGACGGTGGTGTGAGAAACGAAATGATACCTTTTGAGCTATGGCGCTCCAAGACATGTGTCAAAAGGAATCGACGTTCGACCGGAGAACCACTTCATTAAAGGATTATTATTGATGTGGTAGCATTCGTCCAGTCATCCAGATACTCACTGCTCGACATGCTGTGACATGGACTAATGGGAAGGAACTCTATATACACTCGACCTCGAACTTCAGGAGGAGAGGAGAAGGAGGAGAGAGGACAGAGTGTTCCAGACTTCGCTACTGTCACCACGTGTTAGGACTAGGGTCCCGTTTGTAATCTGGAACCTGGCTATTTCTATTCGGTTGGGGCCGAGTACCTAAGTGCTGGTTGAAGCCGGACTTAGGCGGATCCGGTTGGAGCCAGATCCAGTTCCTTGGTGGTTGAAACCGGAAGGAACGATCAGAAATAGCAAGGACGAGATCGGAGAGTGGGCGTGCGACGGTTAGAGCCCGAGCAACCCCTTTCGATTTCGTTGTGTTAGCCGTGATTTCGATAAATCACGAGATAAGGTGCGAGCGCTGCTGCATTGATGGGGAGCTAGTTTTTGCTTATCTTTTCTCAGAACTCATCTGTATTTTGCGAATTGGAAGCTGTCGCCCTTGCTTGGTTGTGCTGAGAATATTAGATCATTGGTTGACTATTAATATCTTTGATATCTTCAGAACATTTGGAACTGTATGTTAGGTAGCAAATTAGAATAAATATAATTATGTGAAGCCTGGTTCGCTTAGGAATCCTTTCCCAAGGTAATTCATTCCGTATCGACCACTACGAACCTTTCCAAAGGGAGCAAATTCACTAACTCAGTAACGATAAGGCAGTTTGCCAGTAAGGTCATAATTACCAAGTGTAATTTAAATTTAGTCTTACCGGCCACGCCAGAGAGTACCGATCGTTACACAAGGAAGGAAGTGCAACGGGAAGTTGCGGTTTAAGTCCATGAAACTGGAGATGTGAACTTCCCGAGTGCAATCTGTGGCATCTGTTAGAGAAGTAAATTTGAAGCAAAACCCGTGGACGAGCTCCAGACACTTCAGTGTCCGAAAAAAGGAAAGGACTCGTTGTCCTTCCCCCGTCAGGCAAAGAGGAACTCCACTTTTATATTGAAAATCAGCCATTTTTATATTGAAAATCAGAGGATAGCAGGCGTTGCATGGTGGAAACGTTTTATAAGTTCCGCCGGATTTCGCGGGACTCGGCATTTTGGAGGAAATGATTTGATTTTTACAGGCTCTGTCGATTCAGAAGGCGCTGAGCAAGAAGGAAAGCCCAGTGAAAGAAAAACATGCACGGTGTATCCTTTGCTTATTTTAAGCACGTGTCTGTGACTTAAGACTAATAGTCGAAAGCATGATTGCCAGCTGGATGCATGATATTGTTCGGTGGCTTCGACTACCTCTGATGCTGAGGTCCAGTACATTTAGTGCTCGTAAGATGAAAGTAGTACTGATGGAAGAAAATGGGAAAATTTGAACTGAAGGTTCCTACGTATCAGTAATGACATAGTCCTACATTGAATGCAGTGTGTGCATTCTGTGCTTTGCAATTTAAAAAAGTTATTGTTTGGAGAGAATTTAAGTTGATGTAAAGAAAAGAATTGAAATTTATCTGCCAATGTATTTTCAGGGTCCCAAAACAAAAGGGAAAATAGGTCCTTCTGCTTACCAATGGCCTAAGGCCTAGAAAGGCAGTCTTTTTTCGACCTTATTTTTTCGCTAAGCTAGAAGAGGTCAGGATGCGAAATTCCAAATATTCAGTTTTGGGATTCCTTGTGTGTGCATAGCAGGAGAGGCTGTTTCCTTCGTTTCGGAAACAGTGATGCTTTTATGTCATTGCCTCTAAGGTGGTTTAGTTTTCCTTTCTGTACAGTTAATCAAGTTCATTTGAAGTTAAATGCATGAAGGCAAGGGGGAAAAATGTGATGTTGGACTTAGCATGGTGTTTACTCTATCGTCTTTTTCACATCCTGCAAGGCCAGTTTTTTATTATTATTATATATATTTGCTTCATACCTCGTCTGGATCCCGAATCTGTATGTTCTACTTTTACGTGTGTGGAAGAAATCGAATCCTATTGTTACAAGGTATGAAGGTGACGTTTTCGTTATTGAACTCGAATGTAGAAGTTAGGAGCAAGTGAGTAATGATTGTATCTGAACCAAGTCAGATTGTGGAGAACTTAGCCAGTTAAAAAGGATCTCCTTATTAGCTCTATTTTTAAGGCACTTGACACAGGCAAGAGGATGGCTTTTAAATCCAGACAGGCTGTAGTTGATACACTTAGACCCGGATCGACATCTCTAATGCTTCCAGGAGGCACTGAGTTTGCTTCATCAAATAAAACGGTATGAATCGTCCTTGATGACTCGCCATTCCTCAGACCTGATCATAGGCACCCACGAAGAAAAGGGAGCATCGCGCTTCTGGCAGCTGGCCCCAAAGCAGCCGATCCACGAGAACCAGGTCGTGGCGTGGAAGTTCTGCCACGTCCTCCACAAGCTGCTCCGAGACGGCCACCCCAACGTCATCCCCCAGTCGATCCGGCATCGCGCCGCGCTGGTGGAGCTGGGTCGGACGTGGGGGGAGGCGCACGGGAAACTCGTCAAGTGTTACGTGGATTTCCTTCTCGCGAAGTTGAAGTTTCACGAGAATTACCCGGGTTTCCCCGGGAACGTCCAGGTCGGCGAAGACCGGCTCCAACTACTCGGAGGTGACGACATCAACTACTATTTTCAGCTGGGTGCAGTTATTTTTGACTATCTAGAAGACATCCTGGCCCTCCAATCGGCAGGTCGGTCTCGCCTCAGTAAATCCCAGATTCACCGAAAAGCACCTCTGGTTCGGTCCACGAATGAATATTCTTCCAGTTTTTGGGTCGCTGGGAGCAAGTCAGAGCAACTCGTCGACCAGAGCAGGTCACAGTCGCCTAGCAGTTCTCATACCCTGCATCTTGGAATCTTCTTTACTCTTCGACTATACGGTCAAAATCATGTTCAAGCTCCATGCTGGTGAGTCCGCATCCAAGCAATCGAGAGATTTACACTTAAATGCACTGCACGCACCGCCATCATCCCCAGATCTGAGCCGCGACGTCCTCGTCGGCCACCGACGGCGATTCCACAAAACGCTTCCCCAGCTCCGAAAGTTCTACAAGGATGCAGGCGCCATCCAGAGTCTGAAAAACCTGATCGACATCCCCCTTCTGCCTCAGGATTCCACCGAGAGCTTTTCCTTCATGAATCACGTTCCCTCCAGCCGAACGGATTTCACCGGTTCAGCATGAATTCTCTTCTTCGGCAGTTCTGATTGTTTCCGTAATGGGGACCTAATTATCTGAAAAGCTTATTTCTGCTATTTCGAATATTCAAGTAATGGAATGTGATGGATTTATATTTAACAGAGAATATCCATGCGCAGAAATTGTTTTTGCATGGAATCGAGGATCTTGTCGATATTTATTTTGTGCAGGAGATCTTGGTCAGTCTTTTTGCGCTGTTTCACTTAACATGATACAGCATTAAATTTTTTTTCCACGATCTAGTCAGCGTTTTCTTCTCAAGCGAGCTCCTTCGTTCAACTGTTTATTCTCAGTCGAAAATTCTGCCATTGCTATCCGTAAGCCGACGTGAAAGGAATGACCCACTCACAAAATCAAACGGCTTGGAAAACGTTCAACAATTTTCGAAAATCCGCCTTTATTAGAAATTTCAAGCGTAGCCTTTCTTCAGTGGTACCCTTACCAAGATTTGAACCAAGAGTGAGTGAAATACGAACTCCCATCTGAAAGAGAATCAAACCGTCGTGTTCTCATTTGGCGCCTAAAATGAAGCCTGTTCGCCGTTGTAATTCCGAGGACGGAACGCGATACCGACGGTTCGCCAAAATGTACAGAGTCCCGCTTCGGTCCCATTCCTTAAATGAGGCGGAACAGAATCTATCAGCATGCTTTCCTCGCGAGTGCCCCCCCCCCCCAAAAAAAAAAAAAAACCTGGATCCCCGTCTTTCGGAATTTTTGCATTTTGAAAGAACGAAAAGGTTTGGGTGTGTGGTCGTGATACGATGGACTTCGCTGCCGAGGGTGAATGTTGTGTGGGGTGGGGGGGGGGGGTGCACTGTTGTTGGCATCCCCTACCGCCCACGCGAACGCAGGCTCAGTGTCCTCACGAAAGAAAGGCATGGTTTTACTGAGGGGCGGGAGGTGCATAGCACTGAAGTGCAGATGCGTCGCCAGAATGCGAGGGTCATTTGGGGGGTGGGGTGCACAGCATCCACCATGCTCTTTGTAGGCAGGCAGATTCTGTATGCGGAGATTGCCTGGCGCCCTAAGAGGACTTTTAAGAAGGCCATAATAATACGCCTGGCGACCTCTAGGCTCAGAAAGGGTGAAGGGAAGGCCGTTACTAGTGAAAAGGAGGGTGTGGAGAAAGAGAAGGAAGAGTGAAAGCATTTAAAAGCAAGAAGAGTAGAGTGGATTGCATCTCCAGGGCGAAGCTTCTAGAATAGAAGCTAATGCCGAAGAACAGAACGAGATAAGGAGACAGAGAGAGGGGTAAGTGTTGCTACATTTTCTTAAATACTTCATTAAGTCATTCCGAGGCGCTCGCGTGTCATCCAGTAAGGATCAATTTTAGTGTGTGCTAGGCACCCTAATGGGATTTTTTTTTAAAAGTCATTGTGCCTCAAAGTTAACCTATAATGACCCCAAGAGGTCTAAGTTGATAGGGTGGTTAATTTGCTTGCTTCAAAGATGTAAAAGAGTTGGGAAAGGAAGAAGTTAGGTGATGAGTAAATTTATCGCAGCATGTCCAATTGTTTCCAGCGATTTTAGAGGGGCATATGGGAAGTTGGCCCACGCGGCGCATGCATATGTTAATAATTTGCGTACCAGAAAACTCCGTATTTCATACCTTTCGCGCGTTATTTTGCCTAGCCTATGGCCAAAAAAGTAATAGCCTTGTAGGCAACGAGCTTCAGGCTAAGGTAACTCAGGCTTAGGTCATAGCGGCGGATCGTACACTTCACCTGTTGCCGACCGCTGCCTTCATGTGCAGAGAATACGAAGTCCTTGCTATATCAGACATATTTAGAGTCTGAAAAGGAATTCCGAAAAACTCAAATGAAAGTATGTGGGTCAAATCGAGCCATTCCGATCGTTTTGGCCAGTGCTGGCTTAGGCCCGTGAAATTCCTGAGCTGCGGCTCGGGCTTCGATCTGGTCGTACCATTTGGTACAGGCTCCAGAAAAGAGGGCAAAAGTTTGATCGATGGGACATGCTAATAGTTCTGTACGAGGGTGCGCGTTTTGTCCTCGTGTACTCCGGGAATCCATTCACAAGGAATGGTCCGTGAAACTTCTCGACAATGACTTCTAACCTAATCATTCCTTTTCACAGAGAACCACATTTACATTGATATGAACATGTGCCAGATGCCTATTTTGCCCATTGCTCCTTCATTCTATTCGTATTTAGATACAGGAAATGAAACGGAGAACAAGATAATGTGCGGATGAGGATGGCATCGAGGGGCACGACTGAATGCCCCGGGTTCGGTGGTGTAGTGGTAGTGGTAGCACACCTGACCGGTCCGGGTTCGAGTCCCGGCCGTTCCCTGGCTTTCTTTCGGCCTCATGCCTTCAAGGTCCCGTCCATCGTTCCACCTCCGTAACAAAAACATGAAAATAACCCATCCGCAACAGGAAGCGTACTACTGCGCATCTTCTCGCCTAGTTCATAGCTTCCAACGGTATAGGGCAGGTAAAATAATTAGCCTGAAGCCGTCTGGATCGAATATTCATAAAAGGGTTTAAAAGATGTGCAATAAAGAAATGAACCGCCGCTCCCCTTCACGCGTGTATGGAAAAAGTACTGAGTGGAGCGGAGCAAACTGTTGTGTCTGCACCTGACCCAACTTTCGTCCCGTTTTCCTAACCGTCAAAGTTTTTCATGGCGTGAGATGTAGTTTCAATAATCCTCAGAAAGTATATAGGAACGTGACAGCATGCAACTTCGAGGTAAGATGTCGAGGGTGTCAACACCCACCACTTCTCTTCATCGATCACAACATGGATGACGCTTTCGCCCTTTATGGATTGGAAGCGGGATCCCAAGACGAGCTGGATCTTTTTCACCTCCTCCATATCCATGCGCTGATGATACACGAAGGTTGACAGGTGCCCCACGTGCTTCTTCTTTTGTCTGGATTCGGGCAGCTTTGCCTTGGCGTGAAGCCGCATTCCCTCTAGTGTTGGTGGGCTGTGCTTGACAAATTGCAGCGTATTATTGACAGGTGCTGAAAGTCCATGTTTGTGTTATTGATACTTCCTCTTTCCGAACTTACTCTCGTCCACTTCGATGATCTTAGCTTCACAATTCTTCCTCGTCATCTCCTCTTTGTATACCTGCTAAGGATTCATGATCCACGGAGTAGATTATGAATGAGGGTTCGGTACTTGAGTAAAAAAGAAAAGAATGTAGTATAAATGCTGCTACACATCACCACAAAAATTCTGAAGTGAGTAAAAATCAGAATATAAGAATGATGGCCCAAACAGCATGTTTATGTTAATTTTAAGTAAACTGAATGTAAATTTTTGTCCATTTTATATCATTTTTACGCAAACCATTGTCAAGATAATGCCAACATGCTTGCAACAACTTGCATAAATGTCACCTCTGTGATACGTGATATAAAAATATATGATATAAAATTATGGTGATATAAAATTAACGTCAATCTTACGTATAATTGACATGCCTGTTTGCATTCCTAACAGTATTTTTACGTCGATTCCACGTAAGATTTATGTTAATTTCCCTCTAGTATTCATGTGTTTTTAACGAGACAAGCAGCACCTTTGAAAAGAATTGATATACTGTATCTCCCATTCCTTTCCATTCTTCAGAACTCAAGGGTGGTTAGACGAGTACACGAGTACTCATCCTCACCAGCACCCAAGAGTACCGAAATGACCTACCACTTCCTCCTCCCGTACTGGAACCTCGGGAGGAGGAGTAAATGTTCAAGGAGCTCTCTCCCATTTAGAGTGGAGAAAATTTAGTACTTAAAAGCTGGGATTCTACTCTTCCCTAATACCGTGCACTGCTGTAATAACAAGCTAAACTTCAGCATTTAATGATTACCTGAGTCATATAATATATATATATATTATAATTTCATGATTTTCATATATATATTCATGGATTGCATAGTAAAAAATGGAAGGATGGTAAGAAAATCCAATATTCAGGAAAGCCAGTACTTAATAGTATTTGTCGGATGCAGGGAGCAAGGGTTCCATCTAGTGAGGAATGTTGGTACTGCAACTGCAGGATGGTCAGCTAAAGTCTCATATGGATGGTGTGGCGTTAATTTTGTATAAACTTGATATCATGTACTTCACGTCAAATGGAGTGACGTCTAGTTTATGTAAAATACACGTACACCTTGGTGACGTAAATATAGGAACGTAAATTTTACGTAAACGTGATGGCAATCGCAAGAAATTTACATTGTTTGCAAATAATTGATATCTTGTTTACGTAAACATGCTGCTTGGGGGGGGGGGGGGTGAGAATGGGGTGTTGGATCTATGCTGAAATACCCTAGCCCAAATCTGTATCTAGGTATCTGGGCAAATATCCATGGACTGGTTAGAAGGCACAACTTCGGAGATATGAAGAACTTCCACTTACAGTTACTGTGTAGGATTCGAGCTGTGGGAGGATGGGGAGACATCATGGCACCACAGTGGAATCATGCATGAGGGGCGATCAAGGCTTTTGTTGCGGTAGGGAGAGAGCATCAATGAGACCTGCATCAGGCGTTGCCAGATGTTTTCTAGCAAGATATTGCGGTCGGTTTGCTGCAGGAGACTGCGATGTGGGAGTTATTGCAAGGCGGTGGAGCATGCCTGAAAATGCGCGTGGGGGGGGGGGGGACATTTACCGTAATTGTGGTTACGGCCTCCTTTAGTGGAGAAATTACGGAGGTCTACTTCACAGCCTTAGCGGAAGCAATTATTAATACAAATGGTCGCGGAGCAGCCTCGGTTACTTTTTGACGATTTTGCGAGACGATTTTTTGCGGGCTCGGTTGCTAGCTTCCTGGAAGATGGAGAATCCAAAGTGGCGCTGGAATGTCGGGAGTGTGAGGAGGAAGAGCTGCCAGAATCGCTAATTATTCAGTGGAGCTTTTTCTTGATGGATGACGTTTATCTACAAAGTATGCCCTTTCACAGGAAAAGATATGATGTTGGATGACGTAGAACATACAAGAGGGGGTATAGAAATTGCCGATGGCCGGTTGGAGTGGAAGGTTATTGCAGTAGTGGGGAAGATCCTGGGATTGGTTGGATCCGCGGTCAAGCACCAAGTGTCTCTAGGAGGTGGGAATGATTTAGTTGGCTTGGTCAAAATGTGGGGTTTGTTTTTTCTTCAATTTATTCAGTTAATATTATTATTAATTCATC